TTCTTTCTTTTGATTAATGTGTGCACTGTTTATCCTTTTCAACCTACTAATATCATTGTATTTGAAATGAATTTCTTGTAGACAGCGTATAGTTGGGTGTGGGGTAAAGAATTTAGCTTTACCCAAAGTAAGGTGTCCTTTGTCCTTGGTTACTGAGAAAAAACCCTTGGATTAATTGGGGTGCCTTTGTCTAGACTTCCAGGCCACATCTGAGGATTTGTGCTGGTGAGTGTGGGCTGGCAGACCTGAAAAGACTCACCTGGGAGGCCAATATCAACTAACCTTAGGAGGCATGATTTAGCCAATCATGCAGGACTGACCAATTAAAGCCCCAGAACAGGAAGGCTCAGAGAGCTTCCTGGTCAGTGAAGAGAGGGTGACGCCGCCCCCTCTTAAACACGGAGGCTCCACATTGGGGACCCTTTCAGACCTGGCCCATGTGTCTCTTCCTTATGATGATCCTGAGTTGTATCCTTTTGCTATAATAAATTTATAATTGTAAGCATAGTACTCTCCACGAGTTAGTTCTGTGAGTTGTTACAGCGAATTATCAAACCCAAAGGGAAAGGGGGAGCCAGTAGGTGAAAGTGAGGGTGTTACATGGAATACCAAACTTGTGGCTGGTGCTTGCCTATTTGGCAATCGAAAGGACAGTATCCTTTTAACTTGTCAGATCCGCCCTTGCTCTGGGTGGCTAGAATCAGAGAGCAAGTGTGCTGCATGGGCAGCTGCTATCAGAAATTATTGAGAAGTAGAAAGGTAGGGACTGGATCAGTCTCCCGATTTGGGGGATTGGATTCATGCTGATTCTTACCCACGAAGTTATCCACAAATATGGTCATGTGTTTTTATTCATCCTGCCAGTCTCTTTTAGTTCGTATATTTAGGCCATTTACATTTAATGTAATATGTTAGGGCTTAATTCTGCCATTTTATTATTTGTTTTGTGTTTGTTCCCTTTGTTTTCTGTTTCTCAGTTCCCCTTTTCCTGCCTTCCTGTGGTTTACTCGAACATTTCTCAGAATTACATTTTGATTTATTTGCAGTGTTTTTGAATGTATCTGTTTATATGCTTACTTTAGTGGTTTCTTTAGATATTAGATTATACATCCATAATTTATTACAAAGCCTACTAGTGTCAACATTTTATTACTTCAAATGAAATGTAGAAACCTTACTTCCATTTAGGTTCCTTTATCGTGCCTCCTTTATAATATAATTACCTTAAATATTTTCTCTATATTGAGAACCACATCATAAAATGTTATGATTTTTGCCTCAACCATTAAACGTGATTCCACCTAAGTGCCCATCAGCAGATGAATGGATAAACAAACTATAGTACGTACACACTATGGAATACTACACAACAGTAAAGAACAAAACATCTCACATGATGAATCTGGAGGGCATTATGCTGAGTGAAATGAGTCAATCACAAAAGGACAAATACTTATAAGACCACTATTATAAAAACTTATGAAAAGTTTTACATACAGTAAGAAACAATCTTTGATGGTTATGAGGGAGGGGAGGGATAGGGAGGGAAAAACACTAACTAGACAATAGATAAGTGGCAACTTTGATAAAGGGTAAGACAGTACATAATACTGGGGAAGTCAGCACAACTTGAGCAAAGCAAAGTCATAGAAGCTTCATAGACATATCTAAACTCCCTAAGGGACCGAGTTACTGGGCTGAGGGCTGGGAACCATGGTCTTGGGGGACATCTAGTTCAATTGGCATAAATAGTTCATAAAGAAAATGTTCACATCCTACTCTGGTGAGTAGCATCTGGGGTCTTAAAAGCTTGTGAGCCACCATCTAAGATACTCCACTGGTCCCACCCTGTCTGGAGCAAGGGAGAATGAAGAAAACCAAAGACACGAGGGAAAGATTAGTCCAGAGCTCTAATGGACCACAAGTACTATAGCCTCCACCAGATTGAGTCCAGCACAACTAGATGGTGCCCAGCTACCACCACCGACAGGTCTGACAGGGATCACAATGGAGGGTCCCGGACAGAGCTGGAGAAAAATGTAGAACAAAATTCAAACTCACAAAAAAAGACCAGACTTACTGGTCTGACAGAGACTGGAGAAACCCTGAGAGTGTGGCCCCCAGCCACCCTTTTAACTCAGTACTGAAGTCACTCCTGAGGTTCACTCTTCAACCAAAGATTAAACAGGCCTATAAAACAAATAGTAATATGCATAGTTCAACCATGTATACGAGACTAAATGAACACACCAGCCCAAGAGCAAGGAGAAGAAGGCAGGAGGGGACAGGAAAGCTGGACGAATGGAAATGGGGAACCCAAGGTTGAGAAGGGTAGAGTGTTGACACGTTGCAGGGTTGGCAGCCAATGTCACAAAACAATGTATATTGTTTAATGAGAAACTAATTTGCTCTGTAATTCTTCACCTAAAGCACAATTTAAAAAAAAAAAAAACTTAAATGGAAAGGCTAGTCTATATTACTCATATTTTTACCCTTTCTGTTGTTCTTTCTTTGTGATGTTTCAGGTTTTGTTCTTTTATCATTTCCTTTTTGTTGGAAAAACTTCCTTTGGAAGTTTTTTTTTACAGCAGTTCAAATGACAACAATTTTTCTTAGTTTTTCTTTATCTAAGAATGCCTTTATTTCACCTTCATTCCTGAAGGATATTATCACTATAGAAGTTTGGATTGACAGTTCTTTTCTGTCAGCACTTGAAAAATGGTCTCAGTGGTTTCAGATGAGAAATCCACTATCATTCAAATTGCTGTTCCCATAAGTAATGCATCATTTCTTTCTAGCTGCTTTCAAGATTTTTTTGTCTTTACTTTTCTGAAGTTTGATTATGATGCGTTTTGATGTGGATTTCTCTGGGTTTATCTTGTCTGGGGTATGCTCACTTTCTTGAGTCTGTAGGTTTTTATGTTTTGCCAAATTTGGGGGAATTTCCAGCCATTGTTTCTTCTAATACTTTTTCAACTAACTCTCCTGTCTTTTTGGGATTCGAATAACACAAATGGTAGATCATTTATTGTAATCTCACAAGTCCCTGTGGCTCTGTTCATCTTTTCTCACTATTTTCTGTTGATCAGATTGGTTAATTTCTATTGTTCTATTTTCAAGTTCACTAATTCTCTACTCTGTCATCTCTATTTTGCTATTGAGCCCATCCAGTGATTTTTAAAAAATTCTTGCTTATTGTACTCTACAGTTTAAAATTTCTATTTGGTTGTTATAACATAACATTTATTTCTTTACTGAGACCTTTTGTTATGGATTGAATTGTGTCCCCCCAAAATGTGTACCAACTTGGCTAAGCCGTTATTCCCAGTGTTGTGTGATTGTCCACCATTTTGTCATCTGATGTGATGTTCGTATGGTTGTGCTTCCTACTTCTATGATGTTAATGAGGTAGGATTAGAGGCAGTTATGTTAATGAGAGAGAACTCAATCTACAAGAGTAGGTTGTGTCTTAAGCCATCTTTTCTCATTCAAGTTGAAATTTCTTTGGTTCTTGGTTTGACAAGTGATGTTTTTCATAGACATTTGGGGTATTATGAATGTCTAGATCTAATTTAAATTGTCTATTTTACCAGGCCTCCACTGACACCATGCTGGTGAAGGAAGGAGTGCACCACCTGTTACTGCCAAGTAGGGGTGGTACTCTGGAAGTCCTGGCTTCCCAATAGGCCTCTGCTGATAGGAAGGGGGGATTTGTTTCTGTGGTACTTGGCTGGAATAGGGTAGATATTATAAAAAAAAATTTCTTGTCTTTCTAGGCTGACTCTCCGTCCTTTGGCTAGTGATAACAGGCTTTTCTTTGGGGGCTTTTTTGTCAGTGACAATTGGCATTTCTGGCCTGCTGGCTTCTTCAGTGCCCATTATGGGATATAGAGAAGGCAAAAAGAAAACTCAGGGAACTCCTGGCCTTGTTGTTCTTTAATTGCCAAGGTCCCTAGTCAGTCCACCTTCTTCTCTCCATCCTTTAAAGTTGTTTTATCCTTGTTTCATATATTATGTTAAGGGTTTTAGCTGTACTTTAGCTACTCCGTCTTGTCTGGAACCAGAAGTCAGCCCATCTGAAAACTGGTTTTTATTAAACTATACTGAAAGTTAGTTGATTCTTTATGTAAATAACCTGTACTAACAGAATACTAAAGATTTATAGAAGGGCCTCAAGGAATTTATAAAGTTACCTTTTCCTTAACACGTGAATCTTTACTGCACATTTTAAATCATCCTAAAAGTGCTTCTTTCTCAAAACTTATATCAGTAGTTCTCTTAAGCTAATGGACATTTTCACCTCATTAGAAAATAATGCCAAATTTGTTACACATCCAGGGTCAGAGGAAGGTTCACAAGAAAGTGAGAAATTGGTGGCAGAAGTAGCACCAATGTACCCAGAGTCAGCCTACCCTCTGCTACCCCCAAATATAGTGACTCAAGTAATGTGTTTAAATGAAAGAAAAAAATTCAGGTGCCACGAGGTAGGAATCTGGACTCATTACTTATATACAGCCTCGTTTTATAGAACAGCTTATTGTTTTTTGGCATGATTTATTTCACCAATATGAACCCATACACATACAAGTGAAGAATGGATGGTTACATGGTTGGTACCTAATGGTACAGTTTCAATCACAGCACCCCCATACCCCCCCCTCCCAGCAGATCCCAGAAAGCTCAATTCTCCTCAACAGGTGCTTTACAGCAGCAGCTGCAGAAAACAGTAACACTGACAGAGGTGACCCCATCTTTTTCTTATCTTTACTTTCACCAGACAAACACCTCTTGAGTCACATTTTCTCTTGGTTTATCTTCACAAACTAAAAATGACAAATACTGATTTGGTATGAATTTCCAGCACTGGATAGTGCAGCGTGGATAAGGAAGATTATAGGTTTCATATTTAAGAGAACTTATATCATCAGGGTTTAACAGGCTTCCTATTCATGAATTTCTGTGTTCTGAAGTTCAAACATCCTTTGTTCCTTCCCTTCCAGGTCAGTCACCATGAACTGAGGCACTTGGTGTGCTGTGCCAGCACTGAAGAAGCAATGCTGTGGAGGCAATCAGTCTACCATGCTGTCAGAGGCTGAGACTTGACCTGATACCAACTGCTGTGCAACACTGCTGAGCAGGAATCTCGTGAGCTGTTAAATAATATGATGGGCACATTGGTTGAGATGAAGTTTCCAGTAAGGAAGTGACAGTACAATGTAGATAACTATGGCCTTAAAATAGGAAGAACTTTAGTTCCCAGCCTGAACCTGCCTCTGCTGGAGCCATTTGAACAAGAGGTCCTCACAACAAAGAGATGTGATTTGGTACCATTTCACATCAGCAAGTATCTGGACAGAAGCATCAATGTGAATAAGGACCAAGTGTAGTCCTGTCTCTCTCAATTAAATTACTTAATATTAAATAAAAGTTCTGGGTGGTACTGTTTTAAACCTGACTTAGTCAGCTCTCCTTCAAATAGTTCCCCTGGTTAGAACCTATTAAAAAAAGTATTTTTTATATCCCTGGGGTAGGAGAACCCTAATGAACTGAAACAAATTTTTATTGCATTTAAATTGTTCTGTCTGGTATTTTTGTAACTCCGGAGTCATGTTAATGACAGGATCTTTCGTTTTGTTTTGTTAGAAAGCAGCATTTATGATGTAGTTTAACTGCATGGGGTCAAGTAAAAGCTAGTCTGCATACAAAGGAATACCAAGACTATGAAGGAAACTGTATTGGGTTTAAGAATGTTCAGAATTGTCCACTAACAACCTAAGCATAAAGCTGAAATGCCAAATCCACTTGCCTAAATCTTACAAATTGGTGCTGCTAACACTCAATGATGCTTTTTGTACAGGGTTCTACACTCAAAGCCTGTTAAAGACTTGCAGGTCAGGAGAAATCATAGGCAGAGGTCAGGTTTAAAGTATTTCTTTTAACCCTAAGGCACATTTTAAAAATCTCAAAAATCTGTTGCCATGATTTTTTGACCCTATTTTAAAACTGAATTTCTTCAAGCATTTAAATCAGGAGTCAGTGAAAACTTTCTCTGTAAAGGGCCAGATAGTAAATACAGGCTTTGTGGGCTATACGGTCTCTGGATAGCCTCAACTCCTCAAAGCTCTGCTGTCATTGCAGCATTGCTGTCATTGCAGCATGAAAGCAGTCACAGACAATATGTAAATTAATGAGCATGGTGTATTACAATAAAACTTTATTTACAAATAGGGCTAGATTGGCCCACGGGAGGTAGTTTGCCAACCCCTGGTCTAAATGAAGCTGGAGAAGAATAGTTTCCACCCAGAAAAGAACTTCTCGGTAAAGGAGAAACAAAACAAAACAACAACAACAAAAGACTAGGAATAAGATCATCCTTCTACTGACAGATGATACTTTTTTAAAACACAAAACAAGATTAGCTCAGCCAGTAAATCTTTTTATTGTCAGTTTTAAAAAAGAAAGAAAGCTTTGAGAAAAATTTGTTAAATATCAGTAAAGCGCAGGAAAACGTGGATAGCTTTAACAATATCAATCTAAACATAGACACAAAGGCAAACATTAAGTAAAACAGTAGGGAGAGATACCACTTTGGGGGCCTAACTGCAGTTTTCCGTATTGCACAGAAAAAAGTTGCTGATAACTCCAGATTTTCACAGTTATACTTTAATGTTGAGATTTTTTTAAAACCACCCGTTTATTACTGCTGAATGGAAGGAGAGAACCAAATTCTCCCCAATTACAGTGTGTAAGTACTCTATAAATGCTCCCAGAAGATCGTATCATCCCATGTTAAATTCATCCAATTCTATTTTTAAAAACTGCTTTTCAGCTACTAAATGAATCCTGGTGAACTTTCCATTTACTTAATCATTTTAATAAAAACTAAACCAAACCCATTAGTAAAACTTCCTAAGTAAGAAGTACAAGATGTACTTTCTGTAAAAATAAATAAATAAATAAAGAGACAACTTCCTAGGAGGAGCTGACCCTACTATGAAATCACACTTTGAACGAGTGGTTTCAGTGGTAAATGCCACATCCATAGACCTAACTCTCAACATAACTGAAAATCATTCCTCTGCTTCTCCAAAGCCCCCAAGTGAAATAACTACAACAAAAATCGGCCCCCAGACATCCATGCAGCTAGACCACCACCTAGGAACACTTAGATCTTAACTCTTTGTAAGTGCTTTAGATGGCAGCTATTGAGTTCTTCATGCTACTTACAAGTCCTTTTCTGTCTGAGTTCCTCCAACATATAAAGGACCAGATAATTTTCCACTGGCTAAGAGTCCATTTGACCATGATGTTTGGCAATTCCGTTAATTCCTGTTAAAAAGTTGCCTCCAGGATAAGAAAATGACTTCCCCTGTGTGCTCTCATGTCTGCTTCAGACCTTTTCAGAAGGTGCCAGAGCAGGCCGATCTTCCTCCTCATCTCCTTTCTACAGAAGCAGTTTTCTGTCTGCTCGTGTAGAAGACTAGCTGCCTGTTTATTCCATCTGGGCCATGGTTATAGCATACCCTGCTTACAAAAATAAAACATCAAAAATTTTGGTTTTGCTCTTTATAATTGTGGCTAGCACTGAGTGAAAAAACAAGATGTATTTGTTAATTAAAATCTCTGCCTATGAAAATTGAAACTGGAAAAAATGGTTTCTTTCTAGGTCTTGTTTTGAAAGATTGTCCAAGAATCTACTTGATTTTTCTAGTTAGACACTAGCACTGGTTCCTAAAGTATTTCTCTGTATATTCTTACCAGGTTTTAGAAAGGCGGAAGGTGTTTTCAGGTATCAAAGTGGTGAAAGCAACATTCAGATGGCTTATTTCTAAAATATAACTCTCGGCCACTAGATACCTTCAGCTTACTATATCAGACACTGGCAAGCCAGAATCTTGTTTAAAAAAACAACATAAGAGATCAGAACTTAATAACAGCAGTCTAATGTATTTGATAGACTGACTCCTGTATTAACTAATCTAAGAATCAACATCAAAAAGCAGGTGTGAAACTTGTCAAGTCCTCCACTTCTGAAGTGGAATAAGAACTCATATACTTATTAAATCAGCAAGCTGACCTTCCAATAGGCCTCATAATTCCAGATCACATTTTACAACAGATGGGTCAATCAGCTTTCTGATACACCTCTTCGAACTCACAATGGGGACCAAGGCAGGTTTCCAAGTGGATGATTTTCATCTCTAATGAGTAGCTTAATTGCCCTGCCACTGGCCTTCCCTAAGTGCATCAGTGGTGTTTTTACAGTTGGAAATCACTTGTTCACATTAAATATCTGACAAGAATACATTAGCTTCCACTGAGGACAAAGAAAAGTAGAGATGTGATGGAGAAGGGATGGCGCACAGAATAGACCTCTACTTTGGAAGGAACTGTAATTCTTTGCCCTAGTTGAAATGTCTACGGATGGCTGAGAGAACGTTTTTCACATTTTCTAAAGAGATGTCATTTGTCAAAGAACAGAGGACATTTTAGGGTCTAGAGAACACAGCCTAAAGAGCTCCTTGCTGTTTGCTTGATGAAATGTTTGATGTCACAGTGGATTTTTGGCTTCAAGGCATCAATGCTTATTTGTCTGGGTACCCCAGTAAGTACCCTGAATGGTCAGAGTCCATTTAATCATGTATGCCCTTCCTATACTTGTTTCCTAGGAAGAAATGCAACCTTATATAAATTCCAAATTTCTTTTTCTAGAAGTAGTTTAGGTTTCCTTATAATCCCCAAAAAGCGTATTAAAAGGAATGACAGGAATTTTGGTATTCCCTCTGTCAAAGTGTTAGACAAAAGTTTGCATCTTCCTAATTACCTGCTTCCCACACTGACACCACCACAGCTGCCATCTTGTGATAGCAAAGCAATCATAACCTTCCACTTAACATGGACCTCTCCTCTGGCAGTGAATGGGCCCACCCTTCATCCTGAGGAATCCAACATGGATTTAAGCATGGGGACAAGTGGAGTCTGAAGAGAAAGAAAGTCTTTGACTGCAATACCAGATTAAATAGAAAAGATAGCTTCCTAGAAACCTTCATATTAGTCAGTAGCTCAGTTAAGACAAAATCCTTTTTCCATAAATGGGGACAAAGATGACAGGTTTTAAATTCTCCTCATACATATACTCATCACCCTTCTCTCCCCTTCACACTCTGAGGTTTTCAAACATGACCTTTTCAGTTGTACTTTACTTTATGGAGTACATTCTTCACAGCTGCCCAGTCTGTATTATTGATGAACACACAGTTTGTTCCACTTGACTAACAATTTTAAAAATCCCTAACTTGCTAGGCCTTTCCTTTAACTAAGGTTCCAAATAGAGTCCACTGCAAGCTCTCGACTAAAGGCCCTCAACCCTGGCAGCCCATTGGAACTCCCTGAAGTTCCAGAACAAAGTATGGATGCCCAGGCCCCACCCCGAACCTACTGAATCAGAATCTCTGGTGGCAGGCCCTTGAATTGGTATTTTTGGGGGAAAAAAAAAAACTGGCCACAGTTGAGAACCTCTGCTCTAGAACATTAGACTGATGAACTGCCTGCCATCCTCCCCTCTCCGACTCAGAACAAATATGTTTATAAGGTGACTTTTTTACCCTCTCAGAAGAAGAACTTTGTTTAGCTGAATGTACCATTACTCATCAGTTTCAATCTGATTGTATGTGAGACTGGCAGCAGGTAGTTCGCCTTGAGTTAAATGGTTTCTGGGCTTTGTGGCTTCCTACTTGTCTCCAGCTTAGGCAGAATGCTTCTAGAGTTGGAACCATTTTGATGAATGGAGTCATCTCCCCAGAATCCCTTGAAAGGTCAGGATTATTCCCTACATCTTACAAACAGAAAAATTAGAACTATTGGTCAAAGTGACTTACCCTGATCCACTGAATAAAAGACCCAATTAAATAACTATAATCCTAGCAAATTTTTTGTCATAGCTAATATCCATTTTTATACTGAAGTATGGGTCAGAATAAAATGTTTGCAGTGAAGACTATAAGACCCTCTGGGGTAAAACACAACCTATGGATTAACCTAAGACTAGGATGGGAAACTCGGTGGTTATTTTTCCTTCCTATGAGGCTAATTTCTTAAAATTTGCTGAAAGGTTCCTAGAAAACCCAAGTGACAAACAAACCCTCGAGGTTAGTGGAAACAGGATGTATCCTACCTGGTTGGCTCTTTTCAAGAACCATCATCAGGGTTTTTCTGTTAGCTTCTTCCCTCCAAAATTAATGTAACTAAATAGGCAACTTATAAGAAAAGCAAGGCTTTAAGAGCCAACTACCCTATCCAAAAAAAAAAGTCCCCACCTTTTAAGTTTATATGGCATAACTGGTCATTACTGAGATTACTAAATAAAAGCTCCTGTGCTGGTTCTGGGCCAGAGCACATACATCCATCTCCAGCCTTCTGTTAAGCCTGGCAGCTGCTGTCTACAGCCTGAAAACCCAATGGTGTCAAGTCGATTCCGACTCATAGTGACCCTATAGGACAGGGTAGAACTGCCCCATAGGGTTTCCTAAGCTGTAATGTTTACTGGGTTCGAACCATCGACCTTTCGGTTAGCAGCCAAGTGCTTAATCACTGCGCCACCAGGGCTTCTTCCTGCAGCCTGAGACCACAACATAATAAACTCCCTCTTCCAGGGGCTCTCTAAGAAAGCTGTTTCCCTGGCTGTGGGTCATAGGTTTTCTTAAGTCCTTCATTAGCCTAGGTAGCCCTGAGGCCTCATGGTGTTAGGTATGTTGTTTAGCTTTTTTCAAATTTACAAAGCCCATGGACAGTCATAAAATCAAAATGGACTTTATTGTAGATAGAAAGGAAATGGGACAGTCTGATATAAAAGTCATTCAATTATATTGCACCATATGAAGTTGTCGTTTGTTTTTCAAAAATGGTTGGGTATCAGCACTTTCATATGGCTCAGCCTAATTAATTTTTCTTGGTTTACACAAAACCATATAGTGTAAAGCAATGCCTTATTTAAAAATTAACCACTAAAAATGAGTTAAGATTAAATGTCTGAATTCATTATGGATGTACTTGACTGGGACACTATTTTGTCTACCACAGTAAGAAAAAAGACATGTTATGAAAGCATTTTTCAAAAATTGGGTTGCCAAATGTGATGGTACTAAAGCATAGAGACATGGGGAGAAACTCAAACTTTTCCAAGAATTCTCAGTATTTCACCTGCTACAGGTGAGGGTGGGTAGAATAGCTTACCCTAAAATGATCCAAACTAAAATTCCAGTTACACCCACACATTAAGCTGATGGAAGCCTCACCAGATACCAACCAAGGAAATGACCCTTCTCAACATGGAACTCAGTGGTGTGAAGGCACCTGGATTCTTGAAAGCATTTTCATCTCAAAGTATCCAGAACCTTCACTGGGTTGGATAATATTGAACTTTCCATTGACTCCCCTCTGATTCCTCATATGGCCACTAAAATCTCATACATTCACCAGCTCAAAGTTTGGAATTCTTCCCAGTCTTTCTTTAGAATACTACCTTGCATTCTCTTTGCAGTTAATTTTTTTTTTTTTTTTTGCAGTGAGATTTCTTTCTTTCCTTTAAATACAAGCCTTTTGCCTCTCTCAGGTTTCTTGTTGCCTTCCTTTCCCCAGATAAAAGCATCCCACAATTTTGGTGTTTATTTCTAAATTCACAGTAGAGATCTCAGTCCTGTTAAAGAAGTTCCCTGTCATACTCTCGGGGCAAAGTTCAAGCATCAGGCTGTCAGCTCATACGGTGGCCCTCAAGAGTTGAATTATTTTTGCAGTGTCATCAGCAGCAGTTTGCAAATACCTCCTGTCCTCAGATTAAAAAAACAACAGTGTAATACTTTTGCCTTTGGTTTTAAACATTTCAGTAACTACTTCTTTATGGAGATTTCCAGAGAACGAACTATAATTATTTCCCCCATGTTGAAATGTTTACGGATATATTTTCCAATCTTCAGTCTAGAGGAAACACAGGTAGCAGAAAAGTCAGGAATGCTGATATGAGGTTGCAGTCCTGCAGCCTTTGTCTCCGTAACTTCCATGCAAATTGATTTTTCTTGTTTTCTGTCCCATTTAACACCAGCTTCCCATAATCCTTGTAGGTCTAATCTCAATTGCCTTCCTTTGTGATCTTTCTTCTAGCCTGTTCTCCCCTAACTTTCCCTTCTAGAGCCCAAGCTAGACTAGCACTGGGAGGGATCCCCAACACCTGCCTCACGTCGTTCAGATACTGCAGGTGAATGAATTAAGAGACCATTAAAACATGCTATTTTGTTTGTTTAACTCTGAAATAGCGTACTACTATGTGAAAAAGTGGGAATAGGTCTGCATTTGTCTTGATTTAGAAACACTTTAGCCCCACCATCTGCATCTTGGGTTAAATTTTAAGTGTTAAGATATCTTCAGACCCCCCAATAAAATAGAAGCATTAGTTCAGTTTTGTCAATACCCCACCTCAAACAACACTGGGGCCTGCGACCATCATCACCCCACTGGTGGGCCTACCCCATCACTTCAGGGGCTGGGGGGAAAGTCATGCATTATCCTCCAGAGGAAACACTAGGCGGGTGCCGCGGCTTGAAACCTTCTGGTCCTCCGTTCCCAGGTCTCGTTCCAGCACTTCCTCGGAGCTGCTCTTTGTTCTCTGGCCACCCTCGAGGCTTGTGGAGGCCGTATGGGAGCCAGAGGAGCCATTCGCAGTCACTGTGCTGTCCCCGTAGGTCAGGGTGAGGTCGCCCTCAGTCAGGATGAAATCAGAGTCTTCCTCTCGCAGCGGTTCTTGGTTCTGAAAAGGGCAACCAACAAAATCAGTGGGAGACTGCTATCTTCCAGGGCTGGAGCCAACCCCAACTCCTCATCTGAAAACTGGAGACTGTGATACCTGCCTGCCTTGAGCCTCTAGATTGGTAACTGGATGTACACTGTAGGGTGCTATTCAACGTAAGCCACTGTTGCCTGAACCAGGAGTTAGAACACCAGAAAGCAGCTCTGATTTCAAATGTGTGACCACTTAGATTTAGAGACTACAGGAAAAAAGGGAGACCAGCCTGGTTTTTCTGCTTCCCAAACCAAAAAAGGACAGACAGGATTAGGTCACTGGGAAAACCCTGCAAATAGATTTACAGTACTCTCTCCTCTGGGTAGGTATCCTGGGTGGGCCTTGCACCCTACATAAACCATCCTAAACCCACCTTATTTATATTTGAACTACTCTTCATCCTAGTCAGCAATTGAGGGAGGAAGGACAAACCACAATTAATTAAGATTTCCTTCCTATTTTCCCTCTCTTGTTCCCATAGAACAAAACCCTGATGAGAAGTCCTCCCCTCTAAGTCCTCAGGTAGACAAAGCCAACTATAGGGATGGAGAGTACAGAGAGAAGTAAATCTTATTGAGCCTCTATTATATGCCTGTACGAGCCCTGGTGGCACAGTGGTTAAGCACTCAGCTGCTAACGTAAAGGTCAGTGGTTTGAGTTCACCAGCCGCTCCGCAGGAGAAAGATGTAGCAGTCTGCTTCCAGGAAGATTAACCAAAAAACCCAAACCCATTGCCAGTCTAGGGAGGATTCATAGGTTTAGTCTACCTCACTTTCTCCCCTTCCAGCCCATTTCTGTGCACTTACTAGTGACAAGCACATGCTTGTTTTCTGCATTGTTTCTCAGTGATGTCAACTTCTCCACAGTCCCAATTGCTGGCACAATGTGACTCCACTTAACCAATGCTCCAGCATTTTTAACATGCAAACATGCAAATCCTCTTGCTTGCTGCCTCAAATCCTCGCTGGAATGAGGCAGGGTGCAAATGTACAATTAAATAAAAAGCCTGGACTCAGGCAAATATTTAGAGGACAATTCTAAAACTCATTTCAAATTTCCACATTTTCCTCTTTCCATTAGTTTTTAGAAGTCCTGGAATTCAATCTGCTCTACCATAGTTTTCTTAATAACAAATGAGGTCATGTGCCCCATCTGAGTTCCCAACTCCCAGGGGGTCCTTCTTCCCTGTTTTAGCATGTCTCATTTCTCCCGTTCATAAATGTGCTAAATGATATTTTTGTTCATCTCTGTCAAAGTCTCTCTTCCAGGACTCTTGGCTCCCAATTTTCAAGGAGACTATTCTGGCATGCATTTTAGTGTTTCCAGGTTTGGAGCCACAGAGGGACAGAGAAGAGTACGGAACAAATGCATGTGAGGGTAATACTGAAAATGGGGGGAAGTCCCATCCCAACACCACAGAGGAATCCCAGAAATATGAACTCTGATGTGGCCTGCTCTGATTTCCTCACAGTGGTAAGCAGGGCCAAATGCAGTGACAGCAGAAACAAAACAGGATGTTGACCCATTCCATTTAAGAAAAATCACAGGTCCAAACAAACAGTACTCAAGGTGAGGTCATTAAGAAACAAGGACATATTAAAACCCAGTGGAGAGTGATTTCCAAATCAAAGTCTTAATGAATGTAGTATGCAGATGATGAAACCAATCCACACCCTCAAATTCTAGATGATAGGATCAACAAGAGTTTTGTTAAGCTAAAGGTTTGTATAATTATATAACTAGCTTTCCAGTGAAGGCTGCTACGAAAATACAGTGAAATAACCCTGAAAACACCTGCAAACAAGAGTGTTGTGAGAATGTGTACATTTTACATAGTCAGTGGTCTTTTTCACAAATGGAAGAACACTGTTTACCAGGTGCCTATCAAATCCAAACACCACCCACCTGTCAGTCTGTCATAATGTGGTAGCTTGCGTGTTGCTGTGATGCTGGAAGCTATGCCACTGGTATTTCAAATACAAGCAGGGTCACCCACGGTGGACAGGTTTCAGTGGGGCTTCCAGACTAAGGCAGACCAGGAAGAAAGGTCTGGTGATCAACTTCCAAAAATTAGGCCATGCAAACCTTATGGATTACAACAGAACACTGTCCGACTCGCTTGGCTATGGACACATCAAGAGGAGGAATCAGTCACTAGAGGGGGACATCATGTTTGGTGAAGGGCCAGTGAGAGTGAGGGAGACCCTCAGTGAGGTGGACTGGCACAATAGTTGCAATGATGGACTCGAAAATGTCAGCATTTGTGAGCATGATGTAGGACCAGGCAATGTTTCATTCTGTTGTATATAAGGTCGCCATGAGTTGGAGTCGAGAACATCCATCCATCCATCCATCCATCCATCCATCATCCATCTATCCTCTATCAAATCCAAGCAGTTTAGAGATAGTGGAAAAAATTAATGAACATCTTAGCTATTGCCTACATAAATTTGGTGAAGTACAAAATGCCCCAGTGATGATGGGTGAGAACCAGACAACAGTGTGTCAAACAGCTGTGAGAAGTGCACAGTTACTTAACTCTACAGTGAGTCCCTCTACCTCTCTCAACCTGGGTTCCTCAATTACTGGCAATTTTTAAAAGACCTTGCTCCCACTCTCTCAGCAGCAGGCTTCACCCAGTCTGTATGGAGCTGGCTGAGACCTTGGTCAGGACCCCAGCCCAAAGCAGCAGCAGCAGCAGCAGCACTGAGGGCAAATTTGTAGCACAAGTCACCTCAGTCGTGTTGGGAGTCCACAGCCCAAGCGTTACTCCAGGAAGGAAACCTTAAGTTGTCTCTCGAACTGCTGAGGGAAGAACTTTAAATTGACAAAACTGTAAATTTATTAAGTTTATACTGAGTTCACACTAGTCTAGGTGCCATCCAGTTTATTCCGACTCATAGCGAACTGATGTACAAAAGAACGAAACACTGCCCCATCCTGCCCCATCCTCAAATCGTTGCTATGTTTGAGCCCACTGTTGTGGCCACTGTGTCCATTCATCTTGTCAAGGTCTTCCTCTTTTTTTGCTGACCCTCTATTTTACCAAGCATGATGTCCTTCTCCAGGGATCGGTCCTTCCTTATCATATGTCCAAAGTACACGAGACGAAGTCTCACCATCCCCACTTCCAATGAGCACTCTGGCTGTATTTCTTCCAAGACAGACTTGTTTGTTCTTCTGGCAGTTCATGGTATATTCAATATTCTTTGCCAACACCATAATTCAAAGATATCAATTCTTCTTCGGTCTTCCTTATTCATTGTCCAACTTCCGCATGCATATGAGGCTATTGAAAATACCATGGCTTGGGTCAGGTGCACCTTAGTCCTCAAAGCGACATCTTTGCTTTCTAACACTTTCAAGAGCTCTTTTGCAGCAGATTTGCCCAGCGCAATACGTTGTTTGATTTCGTGACTGCTGCTTCCATGGGCGTTGATTGTGGATCCAAGTAGAATGAAATTTTTGACAACTTCAATCTTTTCTCCATTTATCATGATGTTGCTTATTGGTCCAGTTGTGAGGATATTTTTCTTTATGTTGAAGTGTAATGCATACTGAAGGCTGTAGTCTTTGATCTTCATTAGTAAGTGCTTCAAGTCCTCTTCACTTTCAGCAAGCAAGGTTGTGTCATCTGCATATCACAGGTTGTTAATAAGTCTTCCACCAATCCTGATGCCACATGCTTCTTCACACAGTCCAGCTTCTAGGATTATTTGCTCAGCATACAGATTGAATAAGTATGGTGAAAAGATACAACCCTGACGAACACCTTTCTTGATTTTAAACCATGCAGTATCCTTTGTTCTGCCTGAATGGCTGCCTCTTGGTCTATGTACAGGTTCCTCATGAGCACAATTAAGTGTTCGGGAATTCCCATTCTTCGCAATGCTATCTATAATTTGTTATGATCCACACAGTCGAATGCCTTTGCACAGTCAGTAAAACACAGGGAAACATCTTTCTGGTACTCTTGCTTTCAGCCAAGATCCCTCTGACATCAGCAATGCTATCCTTTGTTTCAGGTCCTCTTCTGAATCCAGCTTGAATTTCTGGCAGTTCCTGTCAATGTACTGCTGCAACCACTTTTGAATGATCTTCAGCAAAATTTTACTTGTGTGTGATATTAATGATATTGTTCGATAATTTCTGCATTCTATTGGATCACCTTTGTTTTGAATGGGCACAAATATGGATCTCTTCCAGGAGGTTGGCCAGATATACTGAACAACTCAGGAAGCATCAAAAGCAGATGGAAAGAATACACAGAGTCACTGTACCAAAAAGAATTGGTCAATGTTCACCCATTTCAGGAGGCAGCACATGATCAAGAACTGATGGTATTGAAGGAAAAAGTCCAAGCTGCACTGAAGGCACTGGCGAAAAACAAGGCTCCAGGAATTGACGGAATACCAATTGAGATGATTCAACATACGGATGCAGCACTGGAGGTGCTCATTCGTCTATGACAAGCAATTTGGAAGACAGCTACCTGGCTAACCAACTGGAAGAGATCCACAGTAGTCTAGGTATCCCTAATTTATAAGCAAGGGAATAGTAAACCTCAGATTAGAGGTTTTTATAACATTTTAATAGTGGGTTAGTTATGTTACTATTATAGAGATGTGAAAAGTGACCCTTATTCAAATTTAAATAGACGGAAGGCTTTAGGAATTATTTAAAAGAGACTAGAGCTAGAAGACAAAGAAACAGATAAATGCAATGAAACAAGTCTTAATGTATAGTCAGTTGGAGCTCCATTAGTGGGAGAAACAGCAATGCTGTGTCAGCACCCTTTGTCTCAGATGATAAAACACATCCATATGGTCCATAGTGTTATTTTAGACAGAAGTCCAAACTGAGCAAACTATTCAGCATTCAGAATAAGATAGCTTTTATTAAGTAAGTTACTAGCAGGATAAGCAACTATAAAATAAACAATCTATTGGTTTGTATCCTTCTGATAGAAAAAGTAACTAGCATTTTTGTTTAGGCTAATAGATACTACATTAAAAACTTACCACAAGTGGTAAAAAATCACTAAAAAACAAGCAGTTCAGGGAAGGAGCTGGGAATGCTGGAAGGCTCAACTAACTTTAAGAAAAAGATGTTAATGCTGTTCTCCATCACATTTGGTGAAAATTCAAAGACAAGACCATGGCAGAACTGCATTTTTACCAGGCAGAACCTGCTCTCCCCAGGAGGTAAACCAAGTAGCCCAGTTGGGTTTGCATGTGTAAAGTTCTGTTGTTGCCCACCGGGCCTTTTCAACTGGTGACTTGGCAGTTGTAATCCCTGTTCTGGAAGGAAGAGCATGCCATTCAAGAAGCTGTACCCTCAGATCTTAGGTGCTCTGATGTGGCTGCCCCTTAGCACTCCAGATCCAGTGCCCCTTCCTAGCTACAGGGCCCACATCTGTTACCCGTTTGTACCACCTTAACGCATGGAACCTTTCTGAACTCCTCTGCCCCTCATGAAAACTAACCTGTTTAAAGCCTTTGTCTCTCAGATCTGGGCTTTGCATTCTGCTTTCTCATCACTAATCAAATAAACTTCAGGTTATTTGCTAATTATCTGAAGATTTGCATTAGGGTCTCAGCACTGCCAATTATTAATTGTGGGACCTTGGACAATTCACAACCTCACTGAGACTCACTTTCTTCATCTGTAACACTGAAGTACCTGCTTATTTATAGTATGGCCAAGAATAAAATTAACTTTTGTGAACTGTAAGTTCTACACAAATTTACAAAGTTATTTTAGCTAGGATATAATTAGTGTGTTAATGACAAGATGCATAGGATAGTGGAGGAGAGATGGGAAAAAAGGAAGGCCTTTTACCTCTCCTCTGGTCCTTCCATGTGGGTAGCTGTTTCCTCTCCCCTCCCCCGCCTTTTAACCCACATCATTAGCTCAAGAGTCAGCCCTAAATCTAAGACTTCCACCAGTGTAGATGTTCTTTTAACACTGTGCCTGCCGACTCTATTTCTAGAAGCTTAAAATTGAAATAAAGGACCTAACCACATTAACATAAATAAACTTTTTATAAAAAATAATCCTTACAATTGTGAAATTCTTTTATATGTCACAGTGTAATTTTACATACCTTATCATTTAATTCTCACAGCCAACCTATACTACTAGGCCCATTTTATAGATAAGAAAATTGAGGCTCAGAGCATTTGAATGGCCTGTCAGGGCTTGGATTCAAATCTAGTTGTTCAGATTCCAAATCAATTGTTCTTTCTACTTACACCACAGCTGCTGATATTGGGGAGCACCGATAATCCTGGTTAAACGGTTTCTCTATTACTGGGCAAAATATATGTAAGTTGGCTGTTTCAATCATTTTATTAGAGAGCAAAATCTGTGGCTTTGGAGGTATGAGTGCAATCTTATTGGGTGAGAGACTACCTGATGTGGTGAACAGGGACACAACCTGCCATACTGTACTTACATCATACACCTGGGGACTGGTCAGACATCGAGCCAGCAAGCCACACCAGGCTGGGAGAGTGGTGGTTAGTGGGGGGCCACTGTGTGTGAGGATGGGCTTCAAGTAACTTTAAAAAGGAATTAAGGAAAAGTGGGAAGCAAACACACACTCAACAAAATGTGTCTGAAGAATTCAGAGTAAATTATCCAACATTCTATCCACAAAAAACCTTTTCCCCCTACTTTACCAGTACAATACAGAAAATACTTATAATGGCAATCTGAAACAGTTTGAATCAGAGACTAAACTATGCTCCATCAGTTTTAAATTAACTGTTAAATATCAGGTTGGAGATTCACAATTTTCAGTTAAAAAGAATACTTGATTAATTAGAACACCCTTCTTCCTTCTATAGTTATGCTGAATCAGAGTTTTGGTTTCGGTCAGTATTTCAGCTTTTGACACAACCAGTTCACATCCTGGACACAGAAGATAGTGTGCCCAGAGTTGGGGATGTTTCAGCTCCTGGGTCCTCTCTGCCCCTTGTTCTCTATAAGTATACTTGTTAAACCACTCTACCCAGAGTTTACACAGTGGAAGTGTTAGGGTTAGACAGGATCTGAGAAGTAACTGAGGCGACTACAAACAAGGAAACTGATTTGGCGAGGAGAAATGATTTCACTAAGGTTACTCAGATAATAAATCTCCCAACATCCCATACAAGACTATTTTTCACTGTATCTGCTACCTCTCTCCTAGACGCTAACATAGGGTTTTTGAACCTTGACACTATTAACATAAGGAGCCCCGGTGTCTCAGTGGTTAAGTGCTCAGCTGCCAACCAAAAGACCAGCAGTTTGAATCCACCAGTGCTCCACAGAAGAAAGATGTGGCAGTCTGCTTCCGTAAAGAGTACAGCCTATGAGTCTGAATCGACTTGACAGCAGTGGGTTTTTTTGTTTTGTTTTGTTACTGTTGACATTTGGGGGCTGTCCTGTGTTCTGCAGTAGGATGTTTAGCAGCATACCTGGCCTCCCCCAGGGTGACAACCAAACTTGTCGCTGAGCATATTGCCCCTAGGGGCAAAAATTACCCTTGGTTGAGAAAACCACTGCTCTAACATGAAGGCCAACTGAGATATGGAAAGCTCAGGGAGCGTCAGTCTGTGAATATCTGTGCTGCCAAATACACAGCCCTATGTTGGAAGCACCATGAGGCATCTGTCACATTATGACAGAGCTAGGACCATTTCTGAGTTTCACATCCTAAGCAATGTGGAAAAGGTAGAGACACTTAACTACAAGAATGGCCAAGTGATTTTAAAGGAAGGTGAGAACATGTTGTAGCCATTTGGGTACTCAGAAGGATAACTGTTTCAAGTACCACCATTTCCTGTCTCTCTTTGTTTCTCAACTTTATCTTCCAGATCAACAATCTGGTCTCCAGCCATGTTCAAGTTATTAAACTTACCCATTACATTTTTTGTTGTTAATTTCAGAAACCTCATTTTTTAATTTTAAAGAATTTCTTCTTGCTTGATCACTCCTTTTTCTAATGACCTGTTCTGGCATTATGACTGGAAAAGCCTCTCAATTCTTTCTAAGTATTTTATTAGAAAAATTAAAAAATAAATATATGGAACTGTTTATCTCAGCACTCCTAACCCTATATTATAAGCTACCTGCCCATTTGATCACTATGTCAACTTAAGAAATCATGAAGGCTTAACTTTTTGTTTTTGAATTTTCACTTGGGACCGATATAATCTACCAGAACCAGGTCTGTCCTGCATGTGGCCCAGTTATTCCAGGATCAGATCACACAAAGCCTGGATCAGACTTGGCCGACTCCAGCCAGCAGAAATCCTCCCGACATGGATTAACTATCCAAGTTCCACTTCTCTTTCTGACCACAGAATGGTTCGTTGTATAATTTCAATTAATTCACCTACAAAGTCATATTTTCCCTGTACACAAAGCTCTGAAGAGCCACAAGAGTCAACCAGGCTGTGGGTTGACTACTCTATTGATATGAAAACACTCCTCTTGGCCAGAGAGATGCTCAACAGGACTACCTGTGGTTGAGTGACCACTGGTATGTGTCCCAGAAGCTGTACCAAGCACACATCTTTCCTTACTCATAAGAAGTTGTTCACTGACAACGCAAGAGGATTTCATCATCAATGTTTCCTGAATGTTGTGGTTAAAAGGATACTTGTGGTCAAAGCTGTACCACAGCCTGAATATCCATGCACTCTCCTGCTTTGTCCGGTTTCCTCTGGCAGAATCTGGACCGTCCTAGGAACAAACAAGAGGACAAATGCTTAGATGCAGAAAAGGGACCTGAAAGAAGAAGGAAAAGTTTCTTTTTTTCACCATAACTTTTACAGATTTAGAGCTCACAATCAAATATCCTGTTATCACCAAAGTTTCAAAGATACATTAGGAGATAATATTTTAGTAGAAATTAAATAAACCCAAAAGATAGACAAAGCAATCCCCGAAGTTAAAAGGTTTGGCCATGTCTATAGGTAAATCGACTCAATGTAACACAAAATACAAAATTTCCTTTGATATTGTAATTTTCCTCGAAGTGCCTTTCAGCAGATTAATTATCCTAAAGTACTCTAGAACCTAAAGGTCCAAAACTGATTTATAGAGAAAATTAAAGAAAGCTTCAGTAAAACCAACTTTCCAGATCCCCCAGAAGCTGCCCTGGAGAAACCATGCTTGTTGTGTTTCCTGACAAACTAGACGAAGGTTCTCTGTGGTCCTTACCCAGGTACCTATGTACTTTGTGCTCCACAGCACAGTAACTTATTTCCCTACCAGCTTTTAGCAAGGTAGGGTCAGTGGGCAGGAAAACAGAGCCAGAACTACAATCCTATTATTTTATCTACTCTCCAGTAGCAAGTTCCTTTCTCTTTTTCTCATACCTTTCCAACTCAGAACTGCCCATCGTTTAATTTCCAAAATAACCTGCAAAATCAAACAATTCATTCAAGGTTTAGGAAATCTATTCTGTGCAAGCATTAGAAGCAGCAAAATTAATAAAAAAAAATTGGACAGGGAGTACAGGAAGGCAACTTCACGGAGCCCTCCAGCAGGAGACAGAGCACCTGGTAACCAGAGAAACATGCTTTCCCACCCCTTGCTCTTCTGCCCCGTACACCACTTCTACCCCTTCCCACCGGGCCACTCTGTGCCACCTTGGCTAGAATGCCATTGGCCTACCGCCACCCCAGGTCATCGCCGCCCCCACCTGCTGGCTCCAGCCATGCCTTTTTTTTCTTTCTTTTCTTTCTCCCTCCCACCTAGCCCCATACACCACCTGCCCCGCTTCCCGCTGGGCCATGCCACAAGGCCATGGCTGGACAGCCACAGGCACACCACCACCCCAGGTCCACCTGCCCCCAACTGCTGGCTCCCAGCATGCCATTTTTTAATTTAAATTTTATTTTTGTTCTTTTTTCCCTTTCTTCCTTTTATTTCTCCCTCCCACTTAGCCTCGTATGCCATCTCCACCCCTTCCTGCCAGCCCTTGCTGCACCACCACAGCCAGAGCGCCACCAGCCTGCTGCTGCCTTGGGTTTGCCCAGCCCCCCCCTCCTGACTCCCACCATGCTGCCATTTTTTTTGTGTGCTTTTTATTCTTTCTTTTCTTTCTCCCTCCCACCGGCCCTCGGGTCCACCCCACCCCAACTTGCAGGCCTCCACCGCGAAGCCAGATTTTAATTTATTTTTATTTCTCTTTTTTCCTTTTCCTTCTCCCTTAAATCTAGCCCTCTATCCACCTCCCCTCATTTCCACTGGACTCCACTGCACCGCCGTGGCTAGAGAGCCACTGGCCAGCTTGCCACTGCCCAGGGTCCTCCCTGCACCTACCTGTGGAAACCAGCACACTGCCATTTTTTAAATTACTTTCTTTCTTCCTCCCACCTAGCCCAGTATGTCACTTCCCCTTCCTTCTCACTGGCCTCTCGGGTCCGCCACGCCCCCACTCACCAGCTGTCACTGCACTGCCATTATCATTCTTTTATCTTTCTTCCTTTTCTTTCTCCCTCCCACCTAGCCCAGTATGCCAACTCCCCCCCTTCCTACTGGCCCCTGCTGCGCCACCACAGCTAGAGAACTACCAGCCTACTGCCGCCCCAGATCAGCGCCACCCTCACCCACCAGCTCCCACTGCACCACCTTTTTTCCTATCTTTTCATTCTCTCCCACCTAGCACTGTACACCACCTCACCCCTGTTACTGCTGGTCCCCACTGCACCACTGCAGATAGAGTGCCACTGGCACACTGCCCTGCCACTGCCCTGGGTCCACCCTGCACTCACCTGCTGGCCCCTACCATGTCAACGTTTACTTTTTTTCTTTTCATCCCACCTCCCACTTAGCCCTGTACATTACCTCCCCTGCCTTCCCACCAGTCCTAAGGCCCCCTCCCCACTGGCTAACATTTTTTCCTCTTTTTTATTTCTCCCTCTTCTCTTCCTCATCCCTCCACCTAGCCCCATATGCCACCCCCCTTCCTGCCGGCCCTCACTGTGCTGCCATGACTAGAGCGTTCTCGGTGCTCAGGCCCACCACTGCACTAGGCCCGCACTGTCCCTCCTCTCCCACCATTCAACTAGCTGCTGCACGGTGGAAAGTGAGCCCATACAACTCCCCATTTGACACTCTCACCTATCAGGCAAGGGGCTGTGAATGCTCCCACACTGCTATACCAACATCAGGAGGCAGACAGTGCCTGCCTGGTCTGCCCTTAGCCACCTCACCAAACCAGTGTACAGCGAAGTGGGCTTGCCCTGCCTGCTGCTGCCCTGACTACCCAGCCAAGGGTGTGAGAGCTATCGTGCCCATAGACAAGGCAGCAGCAAAGCACTCCTGGACAGCCCACCATGACATATCAAACAAAACAAAAAAGCAAGACAAAACAAACATACAATCAATAAAGAAAATAATACCTTAATGTCTTGGAAACAGCAGGCAATATCAAAACATATAAAAAAGCAGGGCAAGACAGCTCTAGCCAGTGACCAAAATAAAGAATCAGATGACCTTCTGGTAGAAGAAAAGGCAGTGGAACCTGCTATGGAATTCAAAAGACTAACATTCAGGCTCTCCAAGAGATTAGGAAAGAGATCAAGGAAAACACAGACAAAACTAAGGAAAAAACAGACAAAATAATAGAAAACACAGACAAAACCAACAAAAACAGCCAAAATCAAGGAAAACACAAACCAATAGAAGCATTCAGGAAAATAATACAGGAAGAAAACGTCAAAATAAAAAAATTAGAAATCATACAAAAACAGCAACTAGAAATCCAAACGATAAACAACAAATTTCAGAAATGGACAACTCAATAGAAGGTTTTAGAAGCAAATCTGAAACAATGGAAGACACAATGAGTGAGACTGAAGACAAATCCATGGATGCCCTCTTGTTTGAGGAAAAATCAGAGAAAAGAATGAAGAAAAATTAAGAAAACTCAAGAATTATGTGGAACACAATCAAGAGCAAAAATGTGCATATGAAAATCCCCATCCAAATACCAACAGCATTCTTTAATGAGATGGAAAAACTATTCACCAACTTTATATAGAAAGGAAAGAGACCCTGGATAAGCAAAGCATTACTGAAGAAAAAGAACAAAGTAGGAGGCCTCACACTATCTGATCTCAGAACCTACTATACAGCCTCGGTAGTCAAAACAGCCTGGTAGTGGCACAATGACAAACACATAGAACAATGAAACAGAATTAAGAACCCAGATGTAAATCTATCCACCTATGGTCAGCTGATCTTTGATGAAGAACCAAAGTCCATTAAATGGGTACAGAATGTCTTTTTAACAAATGGTGCTGGCAAAATTGGATGTCCATCTGTAAAAAAATGATCAACACGACCCATACCTCACACCATACACAAAAACTAACTCAAAATGGATCAAAGCTCTAAATATAAAACCCAAAATGATAAAGATCATAGAAGAGAATATAAGGACAACACTAAGGGCCCTAACACATGGCATAAATAGAATACAAACCATAACTAACAATGCACAAACACCAGAAGAGAAACTAGATAACCTGGAGCTCCTAAAATTTAAACACTTATGCTCATCAAAAGACTTCACCAAAAGAGTAAAAAGAGAACCTACAGACTGGGAAAAAATTGCTACGGCATATCCGACAAGTGTCTAATCTCTAAAATCTATAGAATACTTCAATATCTCTGCAACGAAAAGACAAATAACCCAGTTACAAAATGGGCAAAGAATATGAACAGACACTTCCCCCAGGAGATATTCAGGCAGCTAACAGACACATGAGGAAATGCTCAAGATCACTAGCCATTAGAGAAATGCAAATCAAAACTACAATGAGATACTATCTCACCCCAATGTTACTGGCACGAATCAATAAAACAGAAAATAACAAATGTTGCAGAGGTTGCAGGGAGATTGGAACTCTTATGCGCTGCTGGTAGGAATGAAAAATGGTACAACCATTCTGGAAAATGATATGGTGCCTCCTTAAAAAGTTAGAAATAGAAATACCATATGATACAGCAATCCCACTCCTAGGAATATATCCTAGAGAAATAAGAGCCGTCACACGACATATGCACTCCCGTGTTCATTGCAGCATTGTTCACAACAACAAAAAGATGGAAAAAGATGGAAAAAACCTAAGTGTCCATCAACAGATGAATGGATAAACAAATTATGGTACATACACACAACGGAATACTATGCAATGATAAAGAGTAATGATGAATCTGCGAAACATTTTACAACATGGATGAATCTGGAGGGCATTATGCTGAGTAAAATAAGGCAATCACAAAAGGAAAATATTCTATGAGACCACTATTATAAAATCCCAAGGAAAGGTTTACACACAGAAAGAAACAATCTTTGATGGTTATGAGGGAGTGGAGGGGTGGGGAGGAGAAATCACTAACTAGATAGTAGACAAGTGGTAACTTTGGTGAAGGGAAAGATAACACACAACATAGGGGAAGTCAGCACAACTTGACCAAGGCAAAGTCATAGAAGCTTCCTAGACACATCCAAACACCTCGTGGACTGAGTTACTGGGGCTGAGGGCTAGGGACTATGGTCTCGGGACATCTAGGTCAACTCGCATAACACAGTTCTTAAAGAAAATGTTCTATATGGTACTTTGGTGAGTAACATCTGTGGTATTAAAAGCTTGCGAGCGGCCATCTAAGATACATCTATTGGTCGCATCACATTTGGAGCAAAGGAAAGTGAAGAAAACCAAAGA